AGGTACTGCTGGAAACGTTTGTTTTTTTTTTCCACAAAATAAGATTAAGAAAAATAGATGGGTAAAAAAAAAAAAAAAAAGTCATAACATCCTTTTAACGCTGACAGGACTTTGGCCTGGATGTACTTTGCTTTTCTGGTTGTGGAGCAACCCTAAGCTCTCTCCAAGCTAATCATGATGAGGGTTGTCTCATCTGGCCTTAGAAGGTAGTGAGTCTGATGTGCCCACTCTGCGCGTCGCAAGCTAACTAGTCCGAGGCACGCCATTTTTGGGGCTGGGACGCATCAGTTGTCTTCAGATCCTCTAGTTGGGATAAGTTGCCATGGCTTTTCTATCATGATTGTAAGCGTCTGCCAAGTGAATGACCTTGAGATGTGTTGGAACATTTGCAACCTTCTATATCTCTGTGCTAACATTTTTCTTTTGTGCTTTTTCTCTCATAAGGGGCTATAACATCGGAGTGCGTCTGATTGAGGACTTCCTGGCACGCTCCAGCATCGGCAGGTGTCAGGATTTCCGAGAAACGGCGGATGTCATCGCTAAGGTAATTGGAAGGTTTCCGGGCCAACCAGAGCATGACCGTGGCCTTTTTCCCAAGACTGAGGCAGGAAGAAGGACGACAGGAAAAGAAAGCTTAGGACGAATGATTGTGATGAAACATCCTAACCCCTAGATGAGGTTCAGAAGAGAAGGATGTAGGGGGGGGGGGCGACTGATGTTTTTGACTCAGTCCAAGTGTGCATCCTAATAAACCTGAGTACAAGATCACATTCGTCATTGCCTTTTAGAGGCTGACAGTTCTGATCTTGAAAAGGTGAGGATTCACACATGTGGAATGCAATCTTCTCCCTCAGAGACATGATGCACATTTAGTGACCTGTGTCACTGTTCAGGTACTTTTAGTTTGATTTTAATGCATGTGTGCACCTGATTGTGTTTAGTACCCCAGCTGTTTCTGCAGCTCGCTCATGGAGTCGTTCCACAGATGTAACCCCACACTAGCTCAGGGACCTGGCTCGTGGTCATAGAGAGAAGGGCCGTGTCTGTAAACCGAGGACCACTGAGGGACAGCGGTTTGGATGGCCCCTGCTTGAGGATATCACATGACCTTTAGCTAACTCAGAAACCACCACCTGTCCTTCATTAGTTAAATGAAGGAGGTCTGTTGTATGTTCTGAAAAACTTTTTTTCAAACTACCTTATCATTTCACTTATAAGCAGAAATAAGAAATCTGCCTAGTGCCAGTGAATATTTTCACTGTGGAGCGCCTACACTTTATCTAATTTGAGATGATTTTGAATGCGTGAGAAAGCATGCAAACCCTCCTGTGACAAATCACGGGAGTGCTGCAGAGGAAAAGAAGAAGGAGACAAGAGTTCTCAGATTTCAGGTGTGTGCAGGTATTCATTTAATGTTTGCCTGACGTGAAGCAATGTGAAGTTTGCATTAGAAGCTGTAGGAACATCTGAGTTATAGTCATGAGGATGGTTAGTGCCTCCGTTTTTCACATGTTCACTGGTTTGCTGATGAGCATTTAGTTACATGCATGTGCGCTGAGTAAATCATCATAAATAGTTATCAATATAAGCTGACATATTCTTACACCTGTTTTGTCTTAAGTCCTGCCCTCATTTGTTTTTCATCCACTCCTCACTGTGCTGTTAGGTTGCCTTTAAGATGTACCTGGGGGTCACTCCGAGTGTGACTAACTGGAGCCCAGCAGGGGACGAGTTCTCCCTCATCCTTGAGAACAACCCACTTGTGGACTTTGTGGAGCTGCCGGATAACCACAGCACGCTGGTTTACTCAAACCTGCTGTGTGGAGTCCTCAGAGGAGCCCTGGAGATGGTAGGGTCAAGAGAAATACTCATTTCAAAGAGACATTTTAAATATGTACAAGATCCATATTGTCAAAGTCTACCTTTACTCACATTACTTAAAGGTTAGTAAAGTGTATTTATGTAGCACCTTCCAAGAGCAGACGCTACACAGTGCTTCACAATAAAATAAGTCAAAGAACAATAAAAGTCTAAACAGATGGGTCTTTAACTGCTTTTTACAAATGTCAACCGAGTTCACAGCTCTCAGTTCCAGTGGTACCCAGTTCCAAAGTTTAGGAGCAACAACCCGAAAAGCACTCTCCTTAAGTTTAAGTTTACTGCAAAGAAACAGCAGCAGACCCTGATCAGGAGACCTCAGAGGCCTGCTGGTGTTATACGGCTTCAAAAAGTTCCTCCATATAAGAAAGTGCTTGACCATGCTACCAGCTTAGCGGCAGCATTTTGGATCGCTTGTAGGCGGTCCAATGATGTGATGCTAAGACATGTGAAAAGAGAATTACAAATTCATCAAGAAAAGAACAGTTTGTGTGAATAAAAAGTGAACAAATCTGATTCTGTTTCAGGTCCAGATGGCTGTGGATGTGAAATTTTCTCAGGACACTCTGAGAGGGGACAATGTGACGGAAATCCGCATGAAGTTTATCAAGAGGATCGAAGAAAATCTCCCTGCAGGAGATGAGTGATGGAAACAACCAAACAAACAAAAAAAACACTGAAAAGATGAGTCGGCAAAACTCAAAACATCCTGATGAGCGGTAAATTAGGCAGACAGCTGTTTACTTTTCCCTGCAACCTCACTTGTCTGAAATGATTGAAAAAACACTCCTCAATTTTCTAACATCGTTACTGCCCATGATTTGCTGAAGAAGACCAGGAGTTACATGATACTATGGAGATGTTCTGAGAATAAAAAAAAACAACCTATACACCATTGAAACACAGATCATCACACGGACACCTTAGGTGGACATAAGGTTTCTTGGCAGATCTCTGTGTTTATGACTGAGGGAAAAACATCTAAATATAACAGCTGTTGCTGTTAAGGAGAGCAGATTTCTTTTTTAGTTGATGATAAAAGAAAAGCCTTTTTATTTGGCAATGTATAAAATGTCTTCTTTTTTTGTGTGTTTCAAGGCTGGAAAACCTGAAAATGTCATGATTTATGTTTTTTTTTTCTTTTAATGAAATAACCCTTCACTGCTGCCAATTATAAGGCATGTTAATTTATGTTGTCGGATATGTCAAATAAAGTTGAAATATTTGATATAATTATTTTTTCATGTTTGTGAGAGTGGAGAGCCTTGACCCGTACCTGTAGGGCAACTTGGAAGAGTTGTAACCAGTCACATGTTACACACACACACACACACACACACACACACTGTGTCCTCTGTAGCACCTTGTCAGCTCTGCTTCAGTGTACTGTGGGAGCATTAGTCCTTTTGATTACCGCAGCCGCTCTGCAAAGGCAAACAATAACAGGCCTAATGCCTCTCTTATGTTTGTTCAGGGTTCATGGAAGTAATTTGCATGCTTCAGTGTGTGCGTGCGTGCTAGCTTGTGCGTTAAAAAAAAAAAATTCAGTGCTTGGTTCTGGTTGTCACACCTGTGAATGGTTTTACCCAGAAGTAACGAACAGAACGTCTCATTGAGAGATCCTGTTGCACACCTCATCAATAACTGGAAACACAGGTGGCCTTTCACAAACACATGCACACACAAATCAAACCCTGCTCTTTCTTTTAGAAGCAAATCATCTGGCCTGGACACAACTAAAACATTTGCAATGTTTTTCTAATTCGTGATCTTTTTTTTTTTTTTTTTTTTGTCTTGTTATTGTGTAACCTTACAATAACATTTGTACCAAACTCACGACTCTGCTGAAAGCACTTTAGAGGATGAGATTGTTAGATAGGGATTTCCTTTTGGAAAAATCTGTCAGCTATTAGCTGCTGGAAACCTCCAGGCTCTACACATCCTATTTTATAGCTGCTATTACATGAACCCATTTCTGCTTTACAGTTTTGAGAACTCAGCCACTTGATGTTAAGTTCCCCTAAAAGCCACCAGAGGTTGCTGTGTACATTGAGTTCCTCTGCTGTAGGCCGGATCATTCCCAATATAAGGCTTAAGTCAGGTAGTTTTTAGCATTTTTTGGCCAAAGATGGGTACTGTGGGAGAAAAACATTCCCTTATTTGTGGGAGTAAAGAACAGAGCTGCCAGAAAACATAAATAAAAGGTTTGTTTTACGATCAGGAATATGGGAAGAGCAAAGAATTTGCAGGAGTTGAGTTGAGTGGTCCTTTGCCGGTTTGTCTTTCGCTTTCATTTGGCTGGAGATTAGACAAACAATGACAACATGTACTCTTTGTAGTGTATAATTCTGGTAAAGATGTATGACGGTGGGATTCTTTTGTATTATTCACTGTCTTAAGCTCCCTGCCAACTCTCATCTAGGGGAGTGCTCATTCAGAAGGATGAAGAGTGGAAAGTGGAAGCAACCCGACAGCCGTCGGGCGTGCAATAAGCCCGGCGAGCCATTCGTTTAGCTCTCAACACATTACGTGCACACATCTATGCACCCTGTAGGCCTGTGATGTGGATGTTGGATGGAAGTGGGCAGGAAATAGTTTTTGTGCAGAAGCTCAATGTAAATGAATTGGCAGAATTAGAGCCATGTACCTTGGGGATGGATAAACAGCTGGGTTTGTATATTTGTGAAAACCCGTATTACTCTGCCATATGCTTACAGGAATTTGACTTGACAAACACACATATATATGCACACATACTGTACACTCAAGCCGAGGTGAGGATGAATTTATTATCATCACTGTACTCACAAATAGGTGTTAAAACACACTGGAAGGACCCTGTTCAAACATGTCTCCCACCACGTCTACCAGTAGGTCTAAGGACGTTTTTTGTTGTTTTAAACTTTGTATAAAGACAACAAAATTACCAACGCTACACCAGGGCTTCACTCCTCATAACCTGTGCATCTGTGATTTCTAATCTCCATGCAAGAGAAGAGCAGATGTTGCAGAATGAAAACACAAGGGGGGGAAGACTTCAGGTTCTCTTACAAAACCCATGATAAGTGCTTCAGAGATATCATATTTTATGTAACGTATGTATCGTTGATATTTATTCTAGTTTCCCATATTCTTCCAGAAAAACTTTATTAGGACAGACCTGGAAAACAAGTAGCAAATGTTACGGGCCCTAGACAACGTGCGCCGATCTGCTTTGAGCCAACTAAACGTTTCCATGTGGCCTTTATGGGAAACAAATGGTGAAAGGCACGCTGTGACAGTAAAGCCCAGCGCACAGACTGTTATTGACCTTTGCTTGTTGAGTATTGCATCCCTTTCTTCTACCTTTACTCTGAGTTTCCCCACTTAATTTTCTCGGCCACTTTAATTGAATTACTCTCCCTCTTTTATTACATTTTCTTGGTTTTATTTATGTGTTGCCAGCGTTCAGAAGTAGAGCCAATAATCTCAAAGCAAAAGAAAGGATGTGTGATATAGTCAACATTTTGGGAATGTCCTGCATCAGATTGAAATCGTGCTACCTCTGAGGTATGGTAAGGGTTGACTGAAGTTACCCATGATTTCCAGAGGCTTCCAGAGTTTGTGTTTCTTTGCGTCAGTTAGTGGAAAGAGCTGATACAACAGCAGGTAGACAGCCCTCTTTTCGGAGAGAAATGCGGTGAGTCAGCAAACAAGTGTGCTCATGGTTAAAATCCCAGACAGCCCGAATATTTTTTTTAGGCAGCGATGTGGTGGGAGTATGTGGTTGATTTAACAAGCTTGTCTCTTGTGTGCACCTGAAAAAGATGCTCCCATGAACACAAGAGTCGTTACATAACTCACACTCTGTACACTTGTCTACTAAAGCACACCCTGGTGAAAGTGTGAATTTAGTGGTTCAGAGGGATGTTCGTTTGGGATTTTAATGTTCATAAACACCCTAGTAAATAAACCTGGATGTGGTTTTGAGAGGTAATCACGAGTTGATTTGTTATGCAGTCACAGTATGTACCCAGTGAAATCTGCAAACAGCATCTGCAAGCCATTTGGAATATGAATCATCACCCACTTCCAGACAAACTGTTTAGCACTTCCTATAAATCTAATAACTCATGCTTTGCTCAACTATTTAGCAAGAACAGTGCATCCAACAGAAAGTTAAGAGCTTTGTAGACCTCACGCAGTTATGTTTTGGTCATCGGGAGTGTTGGCAGGAAGGGTTTAAATGAGAAACAAACCAAGCGAAAATCACCTCTCCAAGTTTGAAAATAAAAGCATGGCTCAGATCCAGCTTACTATGTATGCTAAACACAAGCATCACAGGGGAATCATGTTTACTCATGTTAAAAAAGAAAGCAGGAAGACATGTCGGGTTCAAAGTTGGGTCTCTTTTCTGTATCACAGAAGGGTTTCAGCCGGAGTCCTGGACTCTCCCGAAGCCATTTAATGCCTTGTTTTTAGATTTTCCTTCTTCTTTTTCTTCAAGGCTTTTTGGATGGGAGCTGCTAAGCTGACTTCGCTCTGCTTCCAATTTCCTCCTGCTCTTTTGTTCTTCCTCTTTTCTCCAGATTCTGAAGCAGAGGAGTTTTGAGACATTTCTGATGATACACGTTTTACCCGTTCCAGATCCTTTTTATCTTTGGTGCCTCATTTTCCCATAGTACACTCAACTTTTTGTCTTGTTTTTCTCCCTCCTGTCTTCATCCCTTTTTTCTTGACCCTGCAGCCGTTCAAGCTGGAGTTTATGTAACAGCGTCAGAGCTTTCCAGCTTGGAACAGCCTCACTTCAACGAGGAGCAGGGAGAATAGGTGGGAGAAAAAAAAGAGAAAGAAGTGTCATGTAATAATATGCTGGTTTTATCCTGAGGCTTAGCAGCACCTGTCCTTTGACTTAATTATTCCAGGGCCTTTTCTTCAAATTCCTATTCATAAGAAGAAATATATAAATATCAGTCTAGAAACAAATACACAAGTTCTAAATGAAAAACATGAAAGTGGAAGTCCTGGTTCGCCTAGACAAAAATCAAACCAGGCTTCCCTTCTAGAGCACAGGGTTGCCTGGAGGCTGCACACCAGCTGCAATGGACAGGAAGTCACCAATCGCCAATGCCAAGCATGAACCTACCATGTGAGTGTGCCACATCAAAATCTTTGAGCGACAAAAGAAACCATACAAAAAGCAATTTACCTCGAATGGCACTTTTTTTCCTTCTAACTTTTAAAACATGATATCCGAGCGGTTGAAAAAGCATAAATCGACATACAAGGTGTAAGGCTTTATATCTTCAGCAAGTCATTTATTATCCGCCCCCTTCATCCACCTTTCACACACAGTGTGTGTGATTGTAAGGGGTCTGGATGTCCTATTCTGCAGGTTGGATATTCAGGTCTGTGAGTATGACTTTCATATGAAACTCCTCATGCTGTCATATGGAGTCATGCTGTGTAATATAGGCTGGCTAGAATCTGACAATTCAACTGAAGTCTATGAGGAAATCCCAAGGTGCAATATGAGTGATGAGTTTAAACGGTTTCCATTCAACTATTAACGAAATAATAAGAAATTGTATATGTCCATTATTTGGTTTTACAAAAAAAAAATAACTGCACAGTAAAAAGCTCCCAGTTTATCTTAAAGCTGAAAGTCTTCCAAAACTTTAAAGATCCCATATTATGCTTTTTCTGGTTTAAAATGCCCTTTAGTGTGTTTTCCAAGTGTTCTGTGCATGTTTAGGCACATCTATGTGCAAAAATTCAAAGTCCACGGAAACACGGCTTCTCCTACGTCCTCCTGTTAGCTGTAGCATTAGCCACATGTAACACTCGGTTTTAGCCCCCCTCGAAAATGTTTTGCCAGTGTGACATCTTGTCAGTGTGATATCACTGATCTAAGCCCATTGGCTCGTTGTGGCAAGCCCAGCAGCTCATGTTGCACGCCCATTAACTTCTGTAGCACGCCCACGATATGCCGTAGCCTGCGGTAGCACAGTAGTGCTAAGGTAATGTTTTTGCTCCCCTCGGAGCCAAAGTGGCTGCATTCCCAATATGGTAAAAGGGGCGTGACATTTCCGAGACTGAGCGACTGACCAATTACGGCAGAGCCGACAGGCCGACCAATCAGATCTGACTTGGCACACGTGGGGACTCTGAACGTGGGCACTTCAGAGCCTTAGAGAGAGAGTCAGAAGCGAGCCGATGCATGGAGCTGAAAACATACACTTTTTTCGAACTTT